ACTGCAACAGCGAGTGCTTGAAAATGTTGCTTCACGCGGATAGCACCGGGAGGCGACGTCGTGGAAAAGCGCCATCTCGGAGAATACCTGCGAGGTGCTCTCTGCTGAGTGCTGCATGTGTGATGCGTGGTGTTGAGCGAAGACAAGAGGTGGCGCAAGTATAACCCGTGTGTGCGCATGCATTCCGTGCAGGCCCTGGCATTCCAGTCCGTCTTTAAGCCTCGTTTCTTTGCTTTGCTTAGCTTTGCTCGTCCGACTGTACATATTTTGTCTGCTCTCACGTGCTTTGCCACCATGAGTGGCAAAGCACGCAAAGTGCTTTCACTTGAAGAGAAGTAAAAAATCCTGCGAGCCATCGAACAGCGAAAAGAATGATGTCGCGGCCCAATTTGAGATACCACAGAGCTCTCTTTCAACGATATTAAAAGCGAAAGAGTACCCTCGGTGCCCTGAAGAATGGCACAAGTGCCCAGCGAAAACGGCTGAAGCCCGCCACCTACCCACACACGGAGAGGGCAGTTTTCTCCTGGTGTATAGATACCCGGGCACGAGACGTTCCATTGAGTGGTGCTGTTGTAAAGCAGAAGGCGAAGGACTTTGGAGGCCTGTTGTACCGTGATGACTTCAAAGCAAGCAGTGGATGGCTCCACCAGTTCAAGGCTCGGCACAAAATTGTCAGTGAGATTGTAAGCAGCGAGTAGGCGTTGGCCAATGCACCTGAAGCTGCTGCTTGGCTCAAGAAAGAGATGCCAGGAATCCTGGAACGCTATCAGCCTGCAGACATCTACAACGTAGATGAAACGGGATTCTTCTACCAAATGCTCCCGAACAGGACGCTGGCTCTCAAAGGAGACTGCTGCCGTGGAGGAAAACAGAGCAGGCTCCAAATGCAGAAACCGAATCTAAGCCAATTTTGGCTGAAATTCGGACTAGCGTAATATCCAGAGTCATCGCCCACCTCCCTGCCACCTGAGATTCATAAGAAAGTAGGGTGGGCCGTGCTCGGCAAGTAGGTACAAAAAGTTGAAAAAAAGCTAAACAAAACGCCAATTTTTTTTGCACATATCTAGCGCGGCTGCACAAGAGATACATTAAACTCAAAACTTGTATTAGCTTCATTCTTTTATGCAAGAAATGCTCACAAAAGGATGTTTGACTATAGCAAGATCCGTTGCTTCCATACGCGCTATGAACGCCGCCGATCGGCACACAGCGCGAATGCTTGTTCTGTGAAAGCATGTTTCTTACCAACGTATGTTCTCTTCCTTTGAAACAAGAAATAAATAAATAAACAAGAAAATAGGACAAACAATTAGGCGGAACGAACGAACGAGCGAGCTAGCGAAAGAGGCGACCAAGAGCGATGCTGGGGAAGCAGGAAACCCGGCGATCACGTTGGCAGATACTTCGGCGTCGGGCCAAGTTGGGCGCTTTGTCAATCCCAAGGAGCAGGCAGGCTTTTGTGCAACTTTTTTTTTATGTGCACACATGCGTGCATCCATGCACAACGTGCAATCAATGTGGGTTGAGGCGGTCCGTGTTCGTGGGCGGCACCACAAACACGGAGCTCGAAATGGGACGCTTTACAAGCGTCTGTGTGTGGCCTGCCAGCAAATCTTTATTTACCCATTGGCTTTGTCTCAAACATTGCACAACCTCACCAACCGTGGTCGCAATGTTTCAAGGGAAGGAGCGGGTTCACGGTGATTTCAGTGGAGACAGACTTTGACCTTACACTCTACGGTTCATACGCGCTATGAACGCCGCCGATCGGCACACAGCGCGAATGCTTGTTCTGTGAAAGCACGTTTCTTACCAACATATGTTCTCTTCCTTTGAAAAAAGAAATAAATAAATAAACAAGAAAATAGGACAAACAATTAGGCGGAACGAACGAACGAGCGAGCGAGCGGGCGAAAGAGGCGACCAAGAGCGATGCTGGGGAAGCAGGAAACCCGGCGATCACGTTGGCAGATACTTCGGCGTCGGGCCAAGTTGGGCGCTTTGTCAATCCCAAGGAGCAGACAGGCTTTTGTGCAACTTTTTTTTTATGTGCACACATGCGTGCATCCATGCACAACGTGCAATCAATGTGGGTTGAGGCGGTCCGTGTTCGTGGGCGGCACCACAAACACGGAGCTCGAAATGGGACGCTTTACAAGCGTCTGTGTGTGGCCTGCCAGCAAATCTTTATTTACCCATTGGCTTTGTCTCAAACATTGCACAACCTCACCAACCGTGGTCGCAATGTTTCAAGGGAAGGAGCGGGTTCACGGTGATTTCAGTGGAGACAGACTTTGACCTTACACTCTACGGTTACATTCCAGGATATGGGCATTCACTGACCTCGCAATCTCTGAATGGGTCCTTGTGTTACCTTCCTGGTTTTTTTTCTTTTTTTTGTCTGAATAAGTTTTTTTTATAAGCAAAACAATGTTTTATTTTGTTATCTCCTTGTATTCCTTTCGCACGCATGTACACCGACTCCAGGGACACGGAAATCAGGGGAGGAAATGCATGAACAAGGTAAAGTCTTTCCCTCCTTCGTTTTACTTTGTCACAAACATCCTGCAAACCGTAAAGTCCACGGCCACGTCATTCGGGTAGGATTAGGGGTGTGCGAATACTCGAATATACAAATTCGAATCGAATAGAAAGTTCCCGAATAATTCGGTTCGCAAATCGAATTTCTAGTATTCGGTCACTCGAATATTCGATATATTCGGCCAAAGATGCGCGGTCGGCGCGGAGCTGACAAAAAAATGTTTTTTCTCCCGATGTAAGCCCCATGATATTAGTTAGACCATGCGAGAAACACCTCTTGTTCCTACCATTCCACAAAAATCTAACGCGCAGGTTAGAAAAAAGAAAATTAGCGAACGCCACAAACTTTATAGCACGCAGATTTACTCACGATCGTGACACAATCTTCCCTTGAATCACAACCGAAACATCCCGTTTGTGCCACTTCCACAGAAGAATTGTTGGGAAGCCAGAATCCCGCGCCATGCCTAATTCTTTTCACGAGAAAAGCCCCTCGTTTCAAATTGAAGCGCCGATGTAGAACACACTTGCTGCATTCACAGAAATCGTGGCTGCATGATCACACAAAGAAAACTACGTTAAAGGGAAGATGGGGCACTTCTACATTTGAGAAAAAACGCTTGAATTTCGTTCATTTGGCCTTTAGAATAGCAGATATCAAAATTATATTTCAATGCGACGCGCCGGAGAGCCACAAGAGCAATTTCAAAATAGGGCTGAAGCCCCGCCCCCCTAGCCTTGGGCAGCCAAAAGATCCGTCGATGACGTCACGGACAGCGACTGTCTTTCGCGTTTTTCTCGCGTTTAACAATACTTACGCAGCAAATGATTTGGGTATTCGGGTTCACGGGGTAAAAATACACTAGAATTCACTTCTAACTCATTTTTTCCAAGAAGCTCCGTAGCTTCCCTTTAACCACGCCGATGAAACCAGCCAAGTTATCGTCGTCATTCTTTTGAAACCGCCAAGCGCCGCAAGCCCCAAATTCTGATTCGGAATGAAACGGAACGGAAAAATAGTGTGCCTAGATTTGAGAGGGTTTCCAACCGTTCAATAGCCGCGGTTTGAATTTTTAACTGCGAGAAGGTGACGAAAAGACGAAAGCGTCGATCGGGATCGGGCAGGCAGGGCAGGCGTCGTCGCTCTTTTGTTTGCTCGCCTTCTTTCCACACAACAACACAACACATGCGCACTTACGACCAATCTGCGCTGAAGCCGTCTCCGTAATTTCAGTTTCGCTTGCTCCCTCTTTTAAATCAAGGCTCTCTAAAACAGGATAGATAGACGGAAAAAATGGATGCATAGCGGCAGTTGGACGGTGACTTGCGCCACCTAACCACATTTTGTTTTCTTGCCTCAGATTATATTGTTTAAGCCTGTTTACTCAGATTTAACAACTATCTGTTTATTTATAGGAAATAAAATCCCCAGTGTCCTTTTTTTTCCTTAAAATGGAGACCAAATATCACAAAATGCCCCTTTCTTGAGATACACAAACATTAAAAAAAAAAAAGTTGCAGTGTTAGGGTGTGCTTTTAACGAGAAAAAAAAGGCCCGCGTAGCTGCAACTGTTTTTTTTTTTGTGTGTGTGTGTGTGTGTGTGACGTTTAGGGTAGATATATTATGTTTGCACCATAAAATTGGATCTTTAGTGCCCAACGTCCAACAGCAACTGCTTTTTTTTTTTTTTCAACAGAACTTTTTTACATTTTTGCTATTGTTTCGTACAAGATGCATATTCTACAGCAGGCGCATACTCTGCACCTATAATAGTCTCATTCGCAGCACACTTTGAAAACTTCCTGCAAATAAAATCATTCGATATTTGGCTTTTTTTTCTTGATTCGATTCAGTATTCAATTTGAAAACTACTATTCGGTATTCGCACACCCCTAGGTAGGATGAATGTTCACAGATAGCAGAGTCCGCGTTGGGGTATTTGTAGGAGTGGGCTATCCCTCGGTGTTGTTTTGGAAATCGATATTCGCCCAAAAAGCGGGGTGGGCGATGTTCCGAGTGGGCGATGTCTCGGGATATTACGGTATGTCTTTCCGAAAGGTATTATTCTAAAATCGAGAAAAGCCAATGTAAAGGTGGCCATGGTACAGGGTTCAAAGCTAGTTTAATGAGCGCACATTCCGCTTTATCTCAATTTCACTCACGCGGATTTGACTCATTTCAAAATAAAAGAGAAGAAAAAACTCCCCAAATAAACAAACAATAACTATAAACCGCCAACTTCACGAAGGGGAATGCGACGATGTGCGGGAGGTGAAATGGCCGACTGGCAAGCACGAGCCAGCGGCCTTGGAAAACCCGCTGTTTTTCTCTAGCACACGTTTTGAGAGTCCATCCTCCGTGGAGACGGGGAGGACAGAATTCGTTTTGCACGTTGTGCGGAGGCGGTGAGGACCAAAGGGACAGAGACCCACAATCAAAGTATGTGTGTGTGTACCTTCTTAGAGATGAGCAGCACTTGGCCCTTCTTGAGGAACATCTGCAGTGCAGCTTCCAGATCCTTCTCTGCCGCCGGATCCAGGGGCTGCATCAAAGCAGAACACATCTTGCAACTTTGTGCAAAATCTACGGATTGTCGGCACTAAAAAAATTACTCGGCTCAATGTAGAAAACATGGAACCAGTGACCTTGGCTCGAGAAGTACAAGCAAACGGCCCCGAGTCATTTGTCTCACAAAAAGTTTAATTTTTTCGTGCAGTCTCGCAAACCGAAACTGAAATCTCGACTTGAGTGAAAAACATTGGCCCCTCGTTGTCATCGGCATGGTGCACACACTTGGTACAATGGTACAAATGGTTGTTTGTACCACACAGGTAGACACATGGCTGATGCAGCACAAATACCTGCTTCACAGGTTCTGCTGCATACAATGGCATCTACCCCAACGCATTCTTCACATTATTTTGCGGAGAAACAGCCGTTTTGTAAGCGCATATCTCATTTTTATACTATTGAGAAGCTGGGCTTTGAAAATGCATGCAAACATGAAGCAATCGGTACACAAACGTTTCGTAGAGCATACTAAATATGCCGCACTCAATCACAAGTCACCCGCACGGGACGTACATTTTTTTTTATCTCGACGAAGGAATACGTAATTGCCTTGGATGACAATTCAGAAACCCTCTCGGTATTACTGCAATAGAACAATGTAGAAGCCTACAAACCTTGGTGTAAAAAAAACTATACGACAGCAAGTGTTGGGTTCATAATTGCACATTAACGAATAGCTCAGATAAGCTTAGTCTGTGCTTAAACTGGGAAAACACTTCAACTGAGGGAATTTGGATGCCCAAGAAACCTGTGAGCGTACTTTGCTAAAGACGCTCACACGACACGACGAAGAGCCGATGCCACAAAATTCCACAGAGTCCACCAGTGTCAGTGACTGCTAGAATCAACACTAGCGATATTTTTTACTTCTTATTGTATTGCTATTTGCTTGATAACCGATCAACTGGGCCTATTAAAAAGATAACTGCACCTGTCTTTTCGGTTTTCTTCAGCATACGAAGCAGATTGGAGTTTTCAATACCCATCCATGGTATAAAAGAAGTTAACACCAGGGGTGCCCTTAAAAGTATTATGCACAGTTTGAAGCACAGCTGAGCTGACAATGTTTAGAAACTGACTGACGTGAAGGGGAAAAATATGCATTTCTGCACATTCGCTAGTCTTTATACTATAGTTGCATTTTACATATCCTGAAGCACATGCACACAAAATTTGCTTGCGACAGAAAAGCGCAAAGAACAAAATTCTTGCACGTAAACTGTGAAGATGTCTCAAATTACAAAAAGAGAAAACCACATTTGGATATTAGCATAGATGCGTAGCAATACTTGTTCGCAAAAGGAAAAATAATTATTTTCTTTTGTCACATATTTACGAGACAACGAAGCTACAGAGGAATGTGGTGGAAAGAAGACGCTATGGCCTACTTTTCAATATAAATTTGAAAGTGGGAAACATCAAAATTTGAAGGACCGCACACACGAAAATGGCTCAAATTTATGCCTTTCTGAGTTGCCGGGTCTCCTTCAAATTTGTATTTGACCAATCATATTCGCTCCTTATTATTTTATACATAAAACATGAAGATACAAGGAAAATAAAACAGCCTTAAAGACGAATCTCTTATCTTAAACGTTTTCGTTTTTTTAATTGTACAATTCCTACAATTACTCACACAGCACACCACGCAACGCTTTGTACGACAGAAATTTCGGAAGTTCCCTCGCTGCCTACACTCGCTGCCACACCGTGCATGTCACAACTTCCAGAAAGAGCAGGCACCGCAGCGCCAAAGTCTTGCCGCACACTTCCCATTGCACCTCAATTTGCACAATGACCACACAGAGGTTCAAATTCACGGTAATCACGAAACCCTTCTAAGAAACCCAGGAATCAATCGCCAACGCTGTTGCAACAGTGGTGAGGAGACTGTGCGCAGGCTGAAATGGCCACCAGAGAAACAAACCGACTGGAAGCCTTGGATGGCCCGCAGCGGGAATGCTTGATCTAGCACACGTTCTGAGTCCCGTCCCGAAGGTGCTCTTAGGCCGAGAGAGCAGGACTGGTTTGGTGTGCACGGGTCAACGCCCAAAAGGAGACACCATCCAACAGGTAATAGGCACGGGAGATCTCACCTTGGCAGTCACCACTTCGCAAAGCACCTCTCCACGTACAGCACCCATGATGCGGCTGAACGCGTTGATCACGCCGCGGACGTCACGTGCCCGGCCGTTGTCGCAGAGAGCACCTGCAAACCGAGAGCTTTGCGTTAGTGTCGGCCACCATCTCACGAGAAACATGTAGTGCGCAATAATGTGACCTGGCTCGACGGAGTTGAGGCTGGAGCGGTAAAAATGCCGTGCCTACTGCCCTGGGTACGTAGAGCTGTTGGAACGAAGGTCGAACTCGACTGTAAATATTTCTTATCGTTAAAATAAGGCTGTCCATTCTATGGCTCAGCATGCCAGAGGCATCCTACCCAGTGTTTTACGACTTCGGAGGGCATTAGCTTGGGCCACCTCATGCTGCTATCCACTGTACCTTTCTGTAGGAGAAACCTACAACTTAAGTAATCAGTAAGTGGCAGATAAAAAAAAATTAATAAACAGATTGAATGTTATGCACATGCAGCTATGCAGGGGGATCGGTGGCCGAGTGGACCAGCGCACACCAGCTCAGAGCACGTGGAGCGAAAGCTTGCACTGCAGGACCCAGGAATCCTGGGTTCCATCCCCACCCCTGCCCCTTTCGATCTGGATGTACCGGCATGCGGTCGTGTATCACTACTGCGTGGTGCACGTCAAAGACCCCAGGCTGGCGGTTGTACTGCACTAGCTAAATTCCTCATTTACAGCGAGTGACTCATCACAACTTTGAAATGGCTGACCAACTACACGCTGAAGAAATATCCACACAACCCAATTATTATTGCAGCAATGCAGAAATGGACCGAGATCGAGTGCTGCATTTTTCGGAACATTTGATACAGGAATCAAGCGCATCCAATTTAGTTTCTCTCGGATAACGCGAGGACTCTGTCACTTGCGTAACAGGGAAAAGGCTCAGCAATTCATAAAGCATAGGTGACATTTGAACCTAAAAAAAGATTGCCTGCACTGAAAACTTCAGCATCATATTTGCAGAGATGAAAGCGGCATTTGACATTCTGTAGCAAGTTTTGTAGTGGACAAAATGTTGGTTTGAAGCTGCCATTGACTTTCTGGAGCAGATACCCACATGTGCTAGCACATCACTTAAATATTAAATGATTGCATCACTAAATGAGTCAATCTTCTAAAATAATTGAGGGTTCATCTTTGATATTGAAGTATATTACCTATGACTTTTTGTAATTATAAGACATACAAATGATCATAAAAGGTACTACACACACAACTGTATTTTTAGAACTAAGGCTCAGGTCAAAGTAGGCTTCAATTACAATGGTGATTAAGAAAAAATAGTTGAAAAATTAATCATACTAAGATACTTCAATTAAGATCAAGTGTCTCTTCTCCTCCCTCTTTTATGCTCATAGTTAATGTAGCCTGTCAATATCATTTATATAAAATTCTAGAAAAAAAATAGCATATCCGCTATAACATGGATTAATAAAAATATGCTCTGCCAAAATTTATAAGCCCACAAAACTTAAGTATCTAATATTATAAACTGCAAACCCTCCCTCCCCCAAATATTAGACAAAAATTTAAGTTGAGCTTTAAAAGTGACACTCCAAATTCTGCAACAGTCAGCGACATTGGAGCCAAAGTTGAATCAGAGTTCGAGGCCCTTTCTGTCAACTGCTGCACCTTGATTACATATATTCAAATATAGGTCTGCATTTTTGTTGGCACCGCTCTTTAAAACTATAGGTCAACCTACAACCAAGACCAAAAAAGGTGAATGCGTAATAGTACTACCGAGCATAATTCCCGAGCTCATCGTGCTGACCCACAGGTTCACTCCCTCCTCTCCTCTCCTCTCCCTCTCCCTCTCCCTCTTCCCTCTCTCTCCTCTCCCCCCCCCCCCCCCCCCCCCCCCCTGCCCCGAGTACGCCACTTCTTTTAAAGCACCAGTGCAACACATGAAGCTCCATGCACGTGCACCTGAGCGAGGGGGTGAAGTTTGATGAGATGAAAATCAAGTGATCTCATCAGGAGTATGAGACCCTGGTTGTGTCTTATCATAGCAGTCCGCCATACCACCATTTCATGAATTTCTTTCGCGACTTCTAGCACCGTGACATCGTCGACATCATTGTCTGGCAATTCAGACGATGTCATGGTAGATGAACCCATTTTAGCTACGGTGAGTACACGCCGTGAAATACACATTTTAACATTTTCATTCTCTTCTACTTCCTTCCATATTAGTGTCGACCAATATTAAATCCTTTTTTCGTTTGTTTAAGCTCATCCTCGCACGGATGTGGTGCGATTTTGAACAAAAATGGCATTTTGGCACGGCATTTAGCAGACTTGCGTTAATGGCGCAATTTGGGACGAAGGCCGCAGTACTTCCATCACTGTATTTGCATGTTCACTATCCCAGAGCAGCTCACATTTTCTAGCACTAAAGTTAGTGGTGTGCCATCGATCATTGTTCCCTTTCCTTAAATGGCAATAATAAACCGATCTCACGAGCCAGTTTGACTTTGCCGTCATTGCCGCAATGCACCGAGGGAGCTTTAGTCTTTCTGTACGTCAACGTCACTGCTGCTCCGCACATGCAGAGCATGAAATGGCACAAGCCATCTCGTGCACTGCCACCAGCCTCCGGAAACTAAAGTTAAAGCGGCATCGTGCACGCTTCGAAGGCTTGATGAGATCAGTCTACTGGCTTCTAAGTGCTCTGCTGGTGATATCAGTCTACTGGCTTCTGTGTGCTCTGCGGGAAGAGAGATGGGCAGGATTTTCTATTTATTTGTTTCTTTTTTTAAACAATTCCCAGGGCCCGAGGGCATTGCAGAGGGGAGCGAGTCACGAGGTATATGAACGAAAAGAAAAACAACAAATTCTAAGAATGCTAATAGCTACATGTAAATAAAATGCTGAAATGCTAACATTGTGAAGGATGTTTTAAAGGTGACATAATCAGACAAATATACCACAGACGCAAGAAGGTAGTTCTATGAAAGTGTGGTGTCAAAGCTTATAGACTACTAACTCTGAAATAATCATTAGTTCAGAGATATAATAATCTTTCCAAAAAACAAGCAAACTAGAGTAACACTCCAGAATCAGTGTGGGTGGGCTGAAATGATTGCTGGCCAAGAAAGACCAGAAACCTTGGAATTCCCACCATTTTGATCTAGCACGCATCTATCAGCCCAATGCCCGAGCCCCAACGAAAAGGCAGCTGAGCTGGCTTTGCGTGCAAAGGTCAAATGTAACAAGCTATCAATGCACCAGAGAACTGTGTCTGCTACGGTTTTCCAGAGAGAAAGGAAACATACAAACTAGATCCATGTACGAAGAAGGTCATCAGAGTCATGGCATATAGTCATATACTACCACATTCTTATTTTGTTTTCTCTGGGATTGTACGAGTTCGTGGAGGCTACGGCCCCTGCGACACAATGAGAGCATCGAGCGAGGCACGTGACACTATGTCACGGGAGCATGTGTGCCACTGCGCCACATGCGATTCCCGGAGAAACCGGTTGTCGTCCACTGGCCAAGAGTCGTCTGCAGCGAAACCAACCAACTTCGGATGGACGTCCATTGCCGCAACATAGCCGTCCACTAGAATAGCGAGCTCTTTGGGAACAGTTTGTGAAACGACCATGCGCTCAATTTACCCGCAAATCTGTGACATGTGCTAATGCCAGGGCCCGTTGCTATGTTTTGACCAGAAGCGGTCGATTACTCGGCTGTGATCGCCAACGGCTACGGCGCTACAAGAAAAGAATCGGGAGCGGATACGGATGAGGCGACACCTTTTTGGTTTAAATATAATTAAAACTCATAAATTTGTGATTTCTTTTTTTCCGTTTTCGTATGTTCTTGATAGGGATGGAATCGCGCGAGTTCAATTGCCGTTAAAAAGAAAAAGAAGCCTAGAGATACTTTTTGTCGTGGACGGTGCTGTTGCAGTGGCGGTAACGAGGCCCCCATGGCCTCGACCATGGAGCATAATTATGTGCCTTGCTCCGACGTTCTTATTTAGTTGCGCTGGCCGCAGCCTCCGCAGTTTGCCAAGTTATCGTTGAACAGGGTATAGCACTTACCAACTAAATTGATGGTGAGGGCGTTGAACTGTTGCTTCTTCAGTGTCTCCGACAGAGCATCTGCAACATATCATCCAAAAGAAGTAAATAAAACCTCAGATGGACTGGACAATAGGTCTCAATCTAATGAAGAGCTTAATGATTCAGAAAATCAATGCCATAACACAGAGACTGACAGATTTGGACATCTCGAGGACTGCACCAGCACCCGTACATGTTTTCAAGAGCCCCGTATAGAAATATTTTTTTCTGTGCATATTTTGCAAAATATTTTTTATCTTCTGCCACATGGGAACTGCAGAAGCTTGGCCTCTAAATTATCGAAGGGAAATAGAATCAATGCTGCGATCAGCCTGAGTGTCTCTTTTCTGCCATCATAGAAAAGGAAAGAGCAAACGGCGGCTCCCTTATTTTGATGTGCGGCAGCTCAAACAGAGCACTGCGTAACACCCAGTGTGCTTCACCGCATGAGCAGAGTGTTGCTCTATCTGGGCAGAGCCCCTCCACGTGACGGTAACACTGTTTCTCTATATATGAGGTCAGTTTCAGGCTTACTCACCTGCAAGCTACCCCTCTCCCAACTTAAGGTAGGCATTTAACTAACCATTTTCAGGCCTTGAAAAACTCGCTGTACAAGACACGAGGTAGTTTTTCTATCCATGCATTAATTGTTGCAGAAACCGTAGTACATAAACTAGCACGCAAGATACTGTTCCTAGACGAGCACGAGGAGCCCGAAAAGATGTTTTTCTAAACTTTCCGATTTATCTTGATTTGAACGGTCTTCAACTGAAATATTGGAAGAGACCCACGGGTACATGAAAATGCAAGAGCTCCAGAAACTGAAATTAAATTGGCATGGTCTCACGACGTCCATCTGGGTTCAAATACCATGCTATGAGCAAAGATGACAGAAAGCTGAAGAGGCAGAGGGTCGTAACACAGTCAGAAACTGAGCCGACAGGTAAATGTTAAACACAGCAAAGGTCTAACAGCCCTACAAAATAAAGCCCAAGGGAAGTCACGCACATGACAGGCATTGTAATTGTGTTTGTTTGTGTGTGTGCCTTAGTTCAGCCTTCTCGTTCTTGGAAACTTAACTTCAGGAAGCCACAGCCACGTCCTCTGCGCTTCCCTACGGCATTTTACTCTATCTCGCTAGTCACGCTCAGCGGTGTGAAAGTCACAGGCGGGAGAGCGAGAAAAGCCGCTTTGGTATGAATCCTGAGACACGGACTAATCTCTAAAGGGGTGAAAAGCGATATGGGGGGCTCACTAAAGTGGGTAAGAGGTGAGTTCCTCCTTTGCTTCCTCTCCAACTGCTTGAGTTAAGCTCTAGCACCTGTGCCTCTGGTAACACCGCATGCAACTAGTGAGATAGTATACAGTCACTGATGAGGTGAGAACTGCAGGAGGGAGCTTCAGTCGTCCAGCCTCCGGTGCGATCTTCCCACCTTCGACAAGGCTTCAGCGTCTCATGCTCCTCAAGCACACAGAGGGCATGGAGCAGAAGGCATGGAGCGCATGGTTAAAGCTGGGCATTTCAAAGGCACGCCTTGCTGTTCTCACTCTGTCGGTGACTATAGCTTACTCAGCACCAATTGTGACAGAAGGATAAAACAAACAGTTACTTATGTAGGTGGAGGTGAAATAATTCCAGCCAAAGAATGCACGAGGCTGGAATTTTGGAAAGCCCACCAACTGATGTGGCACGCGACTTTTTTGCTCCAACCCGTAAAGATTACCCGGGTGAAAACGGTGTCATCGGTGCCCTCACAAATACGTCACGCCAAAAAGGTTAAAGGCAGGAAACAAAGTAAGCCGTAACAAGACAGCCCGAGATATAAACACCACCCGATCGCACTATCACTCAATGAGTAAACACAGCAGCGAATGCTACACTGGCTTCCATATCGTTGAATGAGTATTGTGTGCTTATGAATTAAGGCTTGTTCCCACACGACCGAGAGACGAGAAGAGTCTCATCTCTCTCGGTTGCAAGTGTCCTCTCCTAAAATTTCTTAGGACGAGAGAACACTCGCACGCTGGCGCCATCTATGCGGTGATCCTGGAACTGCATTTCACAAGAGCAAAGGTTTTGTGAGATTTCTGAGGCCAAATGTGCATAATACCTACCTATAAAAAAGGCTCGTTTATAACGTTGACAAAAGTTTCTGAAGCCAAGAAAGAAAGGAGAATGTGCGAGAGAAATAGAAATTATGCCAGGCCGCCGAGTTTACACCGCTACCCAGTAGATGGTGCAAGTGTGCCCTCTTGTCCTAAGAGATATTAAGAGGTTCTAAGGCACCCTGCTCTAAGAGGTTGCAAGTGTGTGAACGGGCCTTTAAGCTATGGTCCTAAAAGATGCACGAGTGCAGCAAAAGGAATTCCTACATTCGTCGCTACTTAAACCAAGAAAAAAACAGCTAAATAAAACTGACGATGCTCCACTAGTATTTTATGCAGTCACTTTATGGTAAGAAGGCTGAAGACTTCCCTTGTTTGAAGCCAAAAACATGAATTAACAGCAGTGGCAAGCAAAACAAAAAGATATCAGATAAAAAAAAAAACTGACAGTTCCCAACATTTGTTATATGACAATTAGTTGTAACCTAACTTCTCACTCAATCAAACATTGTGGGAAAGGAGGGGAGGGGGGGGAAAGAAATAAAAAAAAAGGCATGAACATTTAAGTATGAGGTCAGTCTGTAGCAGAAAAGCAGTAACACACTACACGAGCACTCTTCGAAGTTCTCTTAGACAAAAAGGGGTCTAGGACACCGCAACAGAGACACACATACCCCTCTTTAGTGACTTCTTGATAAGTGGGTCATCGACGAACTGGGCCAACCTCTTGTCCTGTTCAATCAGGCCCTGCCGCGAGCAAATACAAAAGCAAATGAATCACTTTGGTGCTTGGCACTTGAACGATAGACTGATCTTGTCAGAACGGTTAAAGGCCCAAGGCACCCACCTTAAATTTCAGGAGGTCTTTCTCAACAGCGTCGAGCTTCTTCTCTTTCGAGGCCGCTGAAAACAGGGCGGTGGCATAACGTCCCGGAATTCCGAAGACTGCTAGGGGAGGCTGCAAGGTTTTTGAAAAAATGTTACAGGTTTGTCTCAAAACTTGCCACCTAACAAATACAGGGGCCTTCGAAAATTAACGGCTACCAAGGGTGACCTCAGCTGGTCCAAAAAGAAAAGCAACCACTTTTTTTTATACACAAGGTTTAAACACCACAAAAAAACCGCTCTGTTTAAACCATATCATGTATAACAAATACCGACAATAAGCCTAGTTCTCGATCATATTACCACTTGTTATTGGTCTTTTTAAAAACAGATGACCATGTTGTAAGACTCACGAAGACGTTTTATTTTATTCACTAAAAAACTACTAAGGATAGGTTTTCTCCATTCAGACCCTGCCTAAACAAACTAAAAAACTGGGCCAGTAGATGTACTATCACGGGACTCTGTTAGATGTAACATGCGAGTGATGGCCGTCCGATACCCCCAGCGCCGCATAGCAGGCGGAGTCTGAAACTTTGATCATGCGCCACGTGGCGGACTCACTCTTCTCACCCGCAAGCACACCCTTGCCGTCGTCTGCTAGGCGCAGAGCAGACAACGCCACAGTGCCAGCAAATGTTCGTTGAACACAGTTTCATGTTCAGCAAGAGGCACTAACGGCTTCGGGGGTGCCTCTTACGCGGTGGTTGATTCGCCACTAATTGTATACTTAGAAGATTACTTTTTCTTTTTCTTCCTGACAAATTTGCAGTTAACAGTCTATATCTGTATCACACCTGCTGCACTTATACTGGTTCGCAAATGCGCATTGTTGAAGCATGCATTGCGCATGCCTGTTTCTAAAAAAGCAAAGAAAGAAACGTAGACTGGGTTAATGCTACAATGACTCTGCAATCTGCTGCAATAAACATCGCCTGACAAGAATGAGTTTGAGATCAGTTTATGGCGAGGGTGCCAGATGAGTAGGGACGGCCGATAGTTGATGTGTGCCTGAAAGTGTTCTCGGCGAGCAATCGCGGAAATGACTGGCAGGCCGCTGTATACATTCAACCGAATTAGTCAGGCCTAACGGGACGAAGGGCACATAAGCGATGCCACACGCAAGCCCGGTAGATTACGGTCGCTGGTTGTTTGGCAGACATGTTTCCGTGAGTCAGGGAACCATCCAACGCGCAAGAGGTGCCCACGAAACTGTGTTCAGCTAACATTGGAAATCGCTGTGGTGTAGTCTGCTCTGCACTTAGCGGACGACAAAGCGAGGGTGTGCTCGCAGGCGGGAAGAACGAGTCCGCCACACGGCGCATGCGTGGAGTTTCGGACGGCGGCTGCTGTGCAGAGCTGGGGGTACGACGACAGAGTCCATGATAGAATGTGAAGATAATAAAAATGCAACAGTGCTATAAGTAAAAATGAAAGAAAGACACCCAGATGACGCAGCAGGTGCTGCCGTCGTGTGTGCCTTCATCTTTGTATTGAGCGCTGCTGTATGTCCTCAGTGGCCGCCTGCAGCCTTAGTTTGGTCCTCCCCAATGTGATACAAGGATGAAGCAAACAGTTATTGGTGTAGGTGGAGGTGAAATAATTCCAGTCAAAGAATATGTGAGGCTGGAACTTTGGAAAGCCCACCGAGTGATATGGCACATGATTGTTTCGCTCCAACCCGCAGAGATTGCACGGGTCGAAATAGTTTCACCAGTGCCCTTGCAAATATGTTACACTTTTATTTACGTTACTCTGAACTGCCCAAGGGGCGTTACTAAAGGAGTTTAATTGATCACAACTGGATTCATATAGCAATTAAATCATGCACACCACATGCCTATGCGCAATGTAACACAATTTTTTTTTTTTTTTTTTTTTTTTTTTTTTTTTTTGAGGGAGGGGGGTGGGGAGTTATTTTTGCATTAAGTTAAATATCTCGATAGTTGGCCCCTGTAGACTAGATCAGCTTTTATTTCGAACTCCACGGCTGGTTCGTTGAAATCACTTTGTTAAAGTTCGGGCAGAAATCAAGCCACCGGACAACAAGGTCAATGGTGAACCTTTAAGCTATAATACAGCAAAGTATACATTGTGCCACCCATAGTGCACATGCACCAAAAACTCTCGCCTTAATCCTCAAACAGACATATTAAAACAATAAAAAATAAAAACCTCAAACACATTAGAACTACGTAGAATTAACTACACGAGGCAAGAAAGCAGTGTCCTACCTTCACGAGCCCTGCCCTTGCAGGATTGGTTGTGCTGAACTGGCGAGTCTGGAAAGAAATAAAATAAATAGAACTCAAGCATGCAACTGACGTTTTAAAACTTTAGCAAATCATTCGTTCATAAAGGGTGCTTTAAATTTGCTGAGAATTTCGCGTTACACCGGTACTGACCTCGGCGGGTTTTATTTAGTCTTAATGCCAGCCAAGAAATGTATGAAGTGTACGCCGGCAGGGTCCGAATATTCGTGACCAGTCTCATCAGAACAAAGTTACCTTGATGTATTAAGCTTCCCAACGTGTAATAGTTAGCGAACTTGGCTAAAAGTTTCAATAACTTTTCGAGACATACCAAAACGAGCATACGTCCGCAGCTCGCCATGATGAAGGTCAAAAATGTTGAGAAGGCTGGCGGAGAATCGCGACATCACATCTACTGGAAAATTGTGTTTAAACCTCGTTGGTTCAAACAATATGGTTTAAACTTATATTTCTTTAAAACAAACAATCTTTTCAAATAAACTTTTTGTATTGTGTAGTAATTTAATATTTATATAGTTATAAAAATTCAACTGGATAACGTGGTGTATTTTCAGACGTTAACCGATCAGGCTAGCTTTAACGATTGATCCAAATCCATTCAGATCCAAACATGCGTTGCTTGCTAGCGTGATCATTTGTACTGTGTACTATTTTCAAATAATATAGGTTTTCTACAAAATTTGCGCTGATCTCGGCAAACTGAAGCATCGAAATGCCTGCATACGAACTAACCATGATTCTCCGATCAATGAGCAAGGTAAGCGGGGACGTTTCGATGACAGTTCGTCTGGAGAGGCCGGCCGCCCCTTCAACGTGTAATAACTATTTAAAAAACCCTCAACACTTTTCTCCTTTTATTTCTTACAGCCGGAGCTTTCAAGTGCTTTAAAGAGAACCGGTGAACTAATGCTCAAGAGCGGTGTGATCCTACGCGACATCCAGAACCTTGGGACGAAGGAACTGCCCATCAAAATGAGCAGCCACGGCCGCACGCATATGTCGGGAAGGTTAGTAATTTAGATAAATGTTTAGGCGGAAGAGTGTCTTCGAAGGTCCCTGGACAGTAACCAGTATAAGCTCTCTGCGGGGATGACTTCTGAGGAGAGGCGAAGGCGTGGGGAACAGGGCAGCTCAATGCTACAATTCGACGTTAGGTCTGCGATGCTTCTCATAAAAGACGAGGAATCTCGATGAGTGACTAGAGCAACGTGAACGTGAGTGCCTCAAGGAGCGAGTCAGATTACAACGAAGTTACACACCACCGCCAATCGAATCAGAACGAATGAAAGATAACGAAATAATCAACAAATTAATACCAAAAATTTAAAAATTAAAAAAAAAAAAAGAAAAAAACCAAAGATGAGGCAACTGCCCGAAAGTGCGGCTGTCATCACCGAGTTCGCAATTTCGCCATTTGCCAAGACATTCGTACTATTTCCAAAATGACCACCCATACATCTGCTAACCGTGTGACATGAAATGATTCTAGCACCTTGCAAAGCTCCTCCCGAGATCAACCATTTGAAAAAGTCGAATGTCGGGTCACGTTAAAGAATGTTAGGCTCGTGGAAACCACGTGACTACGATGTCTAGAATGTGTCTTCAACTGGTGTATTTGCCATTCTATACCGTCCACGTCTCGAAGGAGGTCCCGAAATGGCAACGAATTGCGTCAATGCGGTACGCAAGTTTGTCTGCGTGTTTTGCAGGGGTTGTGGTGACGTTAGAACGCCGAGCTTTTATTGGCCCGAATTGAAAGAGAGTGGGTAGACCTCAAAGCAAGCTGCCTTAAGGTCTACCCACCATCCTTCAATCAAAGGCAATCAAAGCTCAGCGACCCTTGCAAAGAAGCAGACAAACTTGCGCTCTGTATTGGTCATAGAAATGCTGGCAGACCCGGTGAGCAGATGCAAAGCTTGCCATTGTCGCAGCGTCTTGTGTCACGTCTGTTCTAGCGTCAGTCGACTGTCCAGTTGCAGAGCGACCTACATCCACCTTCGCTGCTGTACCACCACCAGGATCACAGCAGGCAACTACACAACATTTTCATGATGTCATCAGGCAGAAATCGAGGGACCACTTTTGAGGATGTGGTAGAGGCTGGCGCCGGTAAGAGATGCACCCATACACGCAATCAATCGCAAATCTGTTTGCAGCTACTTCCTCTTCCGGTTCGATGCTGCGCCCCTCTTCAAGAGGACGCTGAGGGACGAGATGAAGAGAGACGTGGACATCATCCGCGGAACGATCATGGACCTCACACAGCGTCCAAGCATCACGTGCACCCTGGAGGAAGAGATGCAGCCGCCCGCTTACAGGGAGAGCGTCCAGAAGCTGCTCAAAGAAGGCAGGGTGCCCAAGAAGCCCACATACGAGAAACACACCGACGGGCCCGTGTGACCGTACTCCCGCTTGTTTTCTGTTGTGCCTAGTTCAGGTTATTTCTCGCGTCGCGTCGTTGTTCGGACAGAACTGTTTTGTGGACTTACCGTTCATGAATGGCTACGAAGCCGGGTGCTAGTATCCCTTTGGGTCAACTAAATAGATGTTCTAATGTGCAAACTCTCGGCGTAAGTTGTTGAACTCGGTACCCTTCGCTGGCCCGGCACGTACTCGCTGCCCTCCGTCGTGCTTTGACTGCATGTGCACACTTGAACTTCACGAGATGCCGTTATCGAAGGTTAAAATTTCACGCAGGTGGCAAGACAACTGAAAGACATCCATGGCATTTTCCTCCTGTGACTGACTAGGAGTGGTGTATTTCTATTCTAACTACCGGTTGACCAAAAGCTTCACATGCTTGCAAAAGTTTCGAAGAATGTAACTCCTAATCTTGTGTGACCCAATGTTTTTTTGCGAAGAGTATGTTTTCATAGGCCAGAAAACTTGTCATTAATTTATGTTTTGTTTGCGAGGCTCTGCAGAACCCTTCTGTCAGGATCACTATCGACGAGGACATTATTCCGAGGACTTAAATTTCCTAGATTTGGCAGACCAAAAAATTTGCCATAAATGGATCTTGCAACGCACGCATTTCACATGTTCTCTTCTTTGATCCACGCCTGGAATTTCGACCCAAGCCAAATTGCCAAAGTATTGATTGCAGGAAAATAAAGTTGCACACGACATGCGGTGTGATAAGAAACTAGCAGGGACTGGGGCAGAAGGCCAAAGAGTAACATAGCGTTTGGGTGGCAAACATTAAAACTGGCACTGTCACTATATCCACATTTTGTTTTCATGGCTCCTTGAAAAGAAGCAAAACAGTGCATGTGGGAACTGTACACGACGACAGAGCTTGCTTGAAATGTCGACTCAACTCTCGTACGTTCCGTTTACACGGCAGGACGTTATAGAGAATTCCACTGGGCGTTTTGGAGCACGCCAGGATCAGTTGACCAGATTCGGAATGGAGCACACAATCCGAACGGGATAAAGCCGCCTACGGATCCCCAGTGGAATGTGACCACTGCTCCGGGATTGGCAGATGCCTTCCCGTCATTCAACTGCCCGGGAATACCCTTTCCCCGGCCGCCGCAGTCATTTCGAAGACGTTTTCGCAATCGCGGCGCTAACACGTGCTCGACGCATGAGCGGCGGGAATGGCTCAGGAACTTCTAGCAAAGATCGCCGGAAGCTGCTCCAGCAACTTGATGACAAACTGTTGTCAAGCAGCAGCAGTAAGCCGGGCAGTACAGGCGGCACCTCCCAAGCGGCCATTACGAATTCTTCTGAGGCGAGATCAGGCGAGATGCCCCGCGAGAAAGGAAGCCACGTGTGTGCGCCGAGGGCTGGCCCGGCTGGTTTCCAGTTGAATCCGCCGAAATTGGCGGAGCGACTTTTCTCGGATCCAGATCGAGATCTGGAGTGGGAGCTAATCCAAAAGGAGACCAGTGGAACACGTCAGTCTCGACCCCGATCGCCCAGTCAAATAGGATCGCTCCAGAACAGTCGATCCCGGCACGCTCCAAAACGACCCGTAGAATTCGCCAATAGTCAATCTAACGTCCTGCTCTGGAGCGATTACTGGTTCAGAGCCTAATAACATTTAATGCTAACCAACCAGAATCTTTACCTGCTTTCCGACTTGTACGTTGACCCAACGGTGACAGTTGTGCCAGGTCGACAACTACCAAATGGTAATCACTGAATGGACACAAGCGCTCCAATTTGCCTCGATAGGGATTCGGGCAAGGCTCATGTCCAGTCGCTGTTGTGAAAGACATCCCCAAGCTCTAACAACACGCTTGAAAGCTTTCACTTGTGCTCTCGACGCCCTCGCACAGCCGGCACCAGATCGTAAGGCCATTTGTTCTGTGCCTGTCTGCAAGCTGCATTTCGTAACAGAAATAATTTCCTCTTAACAGCATTTAGTGAAATTTGGTATCCATTTTATGATCCTTTACACATGCACCACATGGGGGCTCTCCAGTGCAAGAATCTTTCATATAAAAACAGGCTGATGGTGGAGCTGAACTTGCAATCCACAAAAGTGCTTGCACTCCGGGTTTAGCAGGGATGACTTGTCACAATCACCAATATACCCAATTGTATATGGCAAATTCAGAATGTCCCCCAAAAAAAAAAATCATTTTCTTTCTTCGTAAACTATTTTATGCATCACCGAACACTTGTCCCTAGCTAAGCGTAGCGATAGTAGTCCCTACCAGGTGCCAAAGATTCACTGCTTGCCATTGTCCTACTCAAAAGTTGCTGCAGAACCCAGGGATCCTGGGTTCGAGCCCCACCCCTGCCCGTTTCGATCTGGATGAGAATCGTACCGGCGTGCGGTCGTGTATCACTACTGCGCGATGCACGTTAAAGACCCCAGGCTAGCGGCTGTACCGCGCTGGCTAAATTTCTCATCTACAGCTGGGAGACTCGTCGCCCCTGTGAGGCAGACCAAGTTCTAGGCTGTATAAACACACACACAACCCAATTTTTTTACTCAGAAGTTCCAAGTGATTTTAGGAAATTTTCTATGGGAAAGTGACGGCCAACGAAGTTATAGTCTCTGTTGCTCAAGGTGGCCGGAAGTGGAGGGCAAGTGGCACCCACTATGAACAAGAGTTATAACTAGGGTACTACACCCACCAATACAGGAAGATGAAAGACCTCAGTTCCTGGCAATGGGCCCCACTTTTCCCTTGAAAGTTTCAGAAAGTCACAGGTAACTTTGGGATAAAAAAATTAGCAATTCCAAAACCTTGCCATCTGGTTTGGATAATCTGGTGCGATATTTGGGTGGAAACCAAGTGTTCGGCTGTGCAGTTTTTTTTTTCTCCAGTGGGAAACAAAAAAAAACACTGAAGTGGGTTTCTTTAATTGAGAATATTTTATGCTGATTTCCTTCATTTGTGGTTACATGGTGCTGTGTCCGCATAGGACAAACAACGAGAAATATTGGCACAATCTTGCCCACAAGCGGAAGCCATTATGACTCCCATTTAGGTTGTATAGCCTCTTGTGGGGTGGGGTATAAGCAGCCTCGGTGCAGAGGCATTTTCATATGGAAAAATATGTCCGAGCTACTTTTCTAAGGCTAAGGAACCACACAGCAATTTAAAACAAAGCACTAGATTTTAATAAAAGTTCCAATACAATGGAATGCACATTTCCAACATTGACTTTTCAGTCTTTTCATATGAGAATAATAATTTTTTTTTTTTTTTTTTTTTTTTCATAAATGGAACAGGAGTTATAATACACCATGTTTCGGGAAAAATTCATGGCACTTCCTAGAAGAACTTCGATGGGAACAAACAAAACTGAGAATAAAGGCAGCATTCCATACAACAGTGGGAAGTATTGGCATATTAGAAGGCATATTGCACCACAGCTTTCATCTTTCCTTCCGATCCACACCCATTAGTTACCCAACGACTTGACTCGACAAACGTTTGTGACGTCGGGAGTGTAAAAACACCGGGGAAACACCTTTCGGAAAAAGAAACAAAAAGCAAAAAGGAACCTTGGCCTGCCCTGAAAGGCAGGAAAGAGCGGAGGGACTCTTATGAAACTTCTTTTCCCTCGCGCATATGCAAACACTTCCGTCTCGAAAACTTTAGGTAAAAAATAAATAGCTTCCCCCGGTCTCCAGGGGGAGCATCTGTTGCGAGGAGTGTATTTGGCAGAGGTTTGCGGAGCGACGGCAATTTGTTTTTGGCGGCGCTACGGGCGGGGGCTTCACATGTGGCGGGTGTTGCCGAAGTTGATGCCGCTCTGGTTAGCTCCCTTGTTGGACCCGTACTGCAGGCTGATGACGTTCTGGCCAGCCTTGAGCTGTTCTTCCGAGAAGTTGCGCACGTTGGCTTCGGCCTCCTTCGGCCCCATGCCTTTCACTCCGAACTTGGGCGCCTGCAGCAACGGAAACATTTGGTTTTTCCGCCGTTTGTTTATTTTGACACAAATAGAAGTTTGCACCATGAGGAGGCCGAGGGATTGTACACTGTTTTCTTGTCTCAGAATGCTGTGAAAACGAATTAGCTGTGCACTGGAAAGAAAAAGGTGGCAGGATAGCAAATACATAACAATGCATTTAATATAGAAGAGAAAGAATATGCTTAGGCTTCTGCCAAACATCTCTAAACAAAGAATCCATATCCGTTGAGTTGTGGGGTTAAATAAAGCCCCCAATGGGGAAGCACTGCCCATTCAATTTGGTAAAAACAAAAAGCTGTATGCTCCATCCGCAACATAACATTTACGAAAAATATCCCTAACGGCCACACACAAAGTGCACAATGAATTATTGTACGTCCTTGCCCATGCAGCCCCTGCCACTCGACACTGAAGACAAGCAAAGAGACGGGGTAGTGCCGTTGCTCACTTTCCCTTGCCTGCATTTTTCTCAGTTGTTCACTACAGCCAATTCTATACAGGATGTTCCCAGCAAATCTGCGCCGCAGAGGGCAGTGCACATTTCACAAAAGGTTTGTTGTGTGCAGGGCAGCTATACATGCTCCAGATTCAATGGTGCTACTCTGACCAGGCACTAAGGCCTGCTCAGATGTGGCAAACGTTTACAGCGATGATGTCGCAACACCGGCAACACAGGCCCCCCTGCCCCTCGCACTCGCACAGCAACCACAAAAACTCGTAAATAGCTATGCTTTGGCATCATCATCCAAATTGCAATTTTCTTCTACCTTTTAGACACACAATTATGCGTTAATAACATGTTTACTTTTAATTGGCATTGAGAATACCAACTTATCTCCCGAAAACAGTACACTTCAATCCTAAACCAAGTGAAACCTTATGTTTAGCTTTTATCACCACCACAAGGCCTGTCACACGTGAATGCTGCATCCCCGGTTGGCTGCCACCGCTTCAGTCTCGCAGTTGGTGCCTGCCCAACTCGGGCTCCAGTGCGGGGGATCTAAAGAATAACTCGCCAGCAACCCCAAAATTGATGGGAACACTGCCCCATCTCAAGCGAGCCTAAGCGGCTCGCGCCATGCCCCCCGGCCGGGCCAAGCCATGCCCCTGCACCTTTCGAGCCAGGGACTGGAGGCAGATGGAGACTGAGAGCAGGTTCTGCTTCTCCCAGAGGTCAACAGTCTGGAAGGTTTCCTGTGCTGGGACGCCCATGTCCCTGGCATGCTGCAGGAACAGGTTGATGTTCTCCATGCACTTGAAGGCCATCTTCGTCTGGTTGATCTTCTTCTCCGGGATGCTGTCTGGCTTGATGGAGTTGATCAACCTGCGCATCCATGAGAAATTGTTTCGGCTTAGGAATGGGCCTCTGACTGGGGATTAATGTAGACTTCAATGGAACCGGTGGCCGTTTGTGTTACCGCACCACAACTCTAAGCATGTGGAGTGAAAGCTTGTACTGCAGAACCCAAAGATTATGGGTTCAATCTCCACTTCTGTCCATTTCGATTTGGATAAATGTTGTACCTCTCTGCAGTCGTGCATAACTATTGCATGAAGCACGTTAAAGACCCCAGGCAAGCAGTGGTACCACACTGGCAAAACTTCTTATGGATATCTATCTACAGCTTGTTGCCTCCTCCTTAACTTGCGCTTCTGCCTGATGCTCTGTTGGCCTGTCCGGGTAGTTCATGTCCCGCTTCCTGACCGGTTAGGTGCCCTCATCCTCTCTCCGCCAGCCCATCCCCCGCCACCAGACCTCGAGCCTTCGCTTAGCGACATCCACTACCAGGTGGGTGTCCCTCCTCCATGCCGTCACTATCTAAGCAAGAATGTCTATTTGGTTTTTTTTCTTATGAACCTTAGCACAGTGACATGTAAGCAGAACAGCAATCTGTGCTCGACAAAGCTTGGGGCTTTTTATGTAGATACGGAACTTCCCCGAATTACAAGAAGAGATGTTCCATGACAGACACCGTCAACTTCTTAAGTAGGAGAATCCTGTAACTGGGAAGGTTTTCTATGTACTTCAGAAATGCTTCATTCACTTCAGGAAGACCCCATATACAATCCGCAGTATATCCTATTTGCCTGGAGGCAACAGTGTTTTCATTTCTGCCATTACCACTGGCTTGGGAAACATGCCGCAAGTTGTGTTTTCTCACAGGTTTCTTATGAAACATTTTCAAAGTTATGTAAAACTTAGATACAGAAGAGGCCTACAATGTATACCTTTTATCCCTGATAGATTCATTTATTAACAATATTACAGCACAAGGCAGAGTACTCACAGCGATGGCCACAGTGCATTTTATGACATGCACGTATCAGTCAAGCAAGTGGCTTTAAGGGGGGGGGGGGGGGGGGGGGGGGGGGGTGCAACGATTTCCGGACTTTGGTCAAAAATTTGTGGAAGTTGCCCTCTGACACTTCTGAAGTAAAGAACAGAAACCCGTTTCCGCCTGCGTGTCCTAGTTGTTGCGTAAAAAAAGATAAATATTGGCATTTTGGGTACCCCTCAACTCAATCCCACTCTTCAGGATCACACCTGGTCGCGCTCCTATGGCCAATTCGTCTGGGCCCGCACCGCACCGGTGCAGTGCGGTGCGGTTCGTGGTACACGGAAGGCTATAGGGGAGAGGGAAGCGTCTTTCTCTCCCCGCCAGCCTTTCGTGTATAAAGTGGAAAGAGTTTACTGCACTGGACGGGTGCGGTGCAGGCCCAGACGAATTGGCCACTAGTGACGTCATTCGGAGTGCCGTGTAGGTTCCCGTGTGCTCTCTCGGAGGACGCTTCCTCTCCCTCTCTCTGCTGACATTAGCGGGCGTTATGCTGCAGCTTAGAGCTGAGTGAGGTCACGTAATTTTCTCACCGTAGTTCCTTCGACTGCCACTAGCGGCTGCAGGTGGGGGAAAAAGCTCCACTTTAGCTTTGCGATTATTCAGCGGAATCGCAACATTTTTTAATGAAGATGTTTTTTCTATCCTCAGGGACACACAAAAAAAGTTTAAATGACGAGATGCAGATAGTTTTAATCATAAAATCGTTGCCCCCCTCTTTAATATATGTTGTTTCTTTGAATTGCTTTTTTTTTTTTTGCTTTTTTTTCAGTTATATATGATTGATAAAATATCTCCTCCGCTCAAAACTATGGCCGACATCTTGTTTACATCCTTGCCTCTTGTCGAGCAGAATTTTGCCAGTGCAAGTGAGTGAATGACGGATTGTTGGCAAAAGGAGGCAACTGCCAGTTGAGCCCAAAAATAGTTCTGTAAGAATACCATATAGTTCAGTAAAGTAAGAATAGTTTGGTAAGAATAAAGAATATAGTTTTGTAAGAATAAAGGTTGATGACACAATCCAAATGTGATTCCTAAAATAAATCAAAATCAACACTTCCTAACCCACAAAAAAAAATGTCCTGGCAGTATTCCTTGCTGTATCATGTGTGGGTTAGGGTACCTGGTTTCTGTCCTTGCTTCATACGTTATTGTACCTAGGAGACACATGGTATTTTGCATGATGGGGGCTCGGTACCACATGACGTGCTGAAAAGAGCCTGAAAGAAGGACTACAAGCAGTCAAATAAATTGTGCAAGAACAAGTGCTGCTGGGTATGGCTTATGGCTCTAGACCCTGCAATCTGTGTCCTATTCCTTATCTTCGTCTATACCTCATTCACCCCTAAGCTGACGGTGAGGTAGAAGCTAGGTGCTCGTTGGGCCAATCAAATATCTGTCTGTTACCATGTGTGTCTGGCAACTCTTAGCACCATCTCACGGCAACCCTGGTTGCAAGGAAAGAATTGTGACACATGAGTTTTGCCACTCCCATGTGCATGTACTTACTGGCAGAGCAGCACGCCGTTTTTGAGGGTCTCGTAAAAGTTGTCCATGTCCCCAGACGTACTGATGTCCGCCCCAGTGACGTCCTTCACCCATTTGAGCAACTCGCCGGCCAGCTCGGGGTCATACTTGGACTGGATCTGGGAAGAGAATTGAGAAGGCTTGTCAAGCATACCGTAATATACGGAAAGATAAGCCATCCCTATTTTTAGCTTGATTTGCTATTGTCTTTTAAACACCAAAAGATAGCCCACTTCTAGCAATCATAGTGTTCGGATCAATGATGACCTCGGCGTAAATGCGACTACCATCAAATACCGGGCAAGCACTCGCTCAAAATTTAGAAATAATCGCGAAAAAATGGGGGATGGGCGCTTGTCTGGTCATTAATTTTACGTATCAATGTACCGTTCATATTTTCTCCGATCTTACAAATTGGGGTATGGGCGGATGCGCATACCCCAATTTGCTTCTAATACACGCTTCCAGCTTCCAGCTTCTAATACATCATCACAGCTTCCACGAGAAACGAACAAGCTATGGCCTTGAGACTGTTTGTGCTAATTGACTGTCCTGCAAGTATATGAGGCAAGTACACAATGCTATTGAAGCTGCAATCAATGTCGATTCTGTACCTGTCTCTATCGTCATATTATATAAAATACAAATCGGCGGGGAAATTATTTATAGGAATCCTGTGAAAAAAACATCAGCCTGAGACATGTCCATGCAATATTATACAATATTGCTAGGACATCTAGCTCGAGCCCTTCATAACGAATGTGACCTAGCTTGAAGAGGCATGTTTAGTTTCATTGTCAATAAAAAGCACTTATACGACTTCGAGTAATAACAGCACCCATAACTAATAGTAAGCAACTTATATAAGGCAGTTCAAAAATTTGAAAGGGAATGGTAGGAATTATAGAACCAAAAACTAACAGCCTGCAAAATATGAAAAAGAAAGCAAGCTCCACATTTTACTTCCAGTGATAAGCTAATATAATCTTCATTTACATCGGGGTTGGCGAAAATTTGCACCCCCAACGCAATCTGCTGGTCCCAATCCCCCCTTTCGAACTTACGGCATGCAGAACCCAAGTTTGTTCTTACAGCGTCCTTTCCATAATAACCACTGCATTGCACTCTTTCATGCCGGATATTAGCAGAGTGTTTCTATAACTCTGAGCAGAAGTTGTTGAATTGAACATAAATATAAATTCAGAAACTGAATAATCAAATGTGTCTCGGGTTACGATGTCAATGTTCTGCACCATGGAAAGTTAGTCACATGACAAATAAGAAAAGCTTTGTGGATACAATTCCCTTTTCTTTTTTTTTTTTTTTTTTTTTTGAGCCTGCAGATGTTAATTTTGGTAGATGTGACTGCCACACTATTTGTGCCAAACCGTCAAAGTGCACCCTGCTACATTTCACCGAAATGCGAGGAATTCACACCAACATTGCATCAAAGGTTTATCTTAATTTATCACCACTAAAACAAATATATCGGGGCCCCACTACACTGCTGGATCTTTACGGTAGGCTTGTGCCAATTCTCCGACCTTTCGATAACAGTTTTGAATAGCCTACCCTTCAATCGGAACTCCTTGTCAAGCACTAACAATATTCAGGAGCTTCAAAACATTTCAATATCCGTCGCCCATTCCGATTGGTTAGTCAGATTCGTTGGGTGTGCTTCTCACCACGCACAGGATGTGCTGCAAAGTGAGACACCCCTACCAAGTGGGTGTCGCGATTTTGCACATCTCGCTTTTGCTGCAACGCACACGTGTGCTAAGGGGAAATTCACTCCCCTGAAGTGGTGTGATGCGCACATACGCGATGGGTATTTGAGAAATAAACATGAAACTTGCTGAATCCTGGTGTGAAAGCTCTACCTTGCAGTAGACACTCCACAAGCCAAACCGTGACTGCGATATCTTGACAAGCCATCCACATCATATACTGTATATTTGCGGGAGGGTTTAAATAAACTGTGCTAGAAATTTTTTTTTATGTCTTTTTTTTTCACATCTTTACTTTTTGTGTTTTTAGCTGTTTGAGGGCAGATTAGTTGAAGCTTTGGAATAACTAACAAATTGAAATAATTCGAATTTTTTTTGCGCATTTTTTTTCTTTTTTTTTTAAGGTAGGTTTATTGTTTACATGTCGATGTTATATCAGCATTAAAAACTTTATGTATATTGAATGCCACTGATGGTCATAATTAAATTACATAAGCCAGTGTTTTTCAAATATGGGTCTGTTTTTCAAATGTGGGTCCGCAAAGGCATTCTAGGGGTCTGCAAAGGCATTCTAGGGGTCTGCAAAGCCCTGCCTTATCAGTCAAGCCCAGTAATAAAAGTTGTATTTTTTTTTTTTTTTTTTCAGAATGATAAACATTTTAATTTTGGGGTTAGGTGTTTCGTATGTATGTCAATGAGGGAAGTCTACTTCACACTAGTCCTTAGCTATATCCATTTATAAAATCATTATCATAATTAACATATCAATTCTTTTCCCCTCACCGCTAATGGGGTCCTCCATGATCTTTGCCGATCCGCAGGGGTACAGAAACATCAATGGTTGAAAACCACTGACATAAGCTATGCTTTTAACTGAACCAACTAAAAATTTCAGTTTTATTGCTACCTTCAAAATTTGGACAAATCAACAGTTTTGGTGCTAATCATTATTCTATTTTAGCGTTACTTCAGCTCAGCACAATACTGTTTGCTTTACCTTTGATTTTATACCAAATAACGACTGACTTGTCCATCAGCATCTTGTAGCAGTGTCTGGTGCTTGAAAACACTTTAAACATATGTTTGGTTGTGCTGAAGCACCACTAAACTAGTAGTTGACAATAGGGCTGGGCACTTGATCGATTAACCTACCGATTAATCGATTAATGCATTAATCGCGATTTGAGCCGGTTAGTCGATTCAATTTTGACAAACAAAATGAAGTACAAATTCAATGGTTTCACCACGCAGACGTGGACGAGTACACCCGTATAAAGGCAAACTTGATGTGAAATTTTGACCTCAAGTACATGGTAGGGGCGAGATTTGTAACTAAGAACAAGTGGAGAAGGCTATACGTGTCGCAGCCATTTTAATGCCGTGTGAGTGTCCATTTAGCGCAGCAGAGACGATTGAGGACAATCAAAGGACCAGCAAACCTCTCTGCCTCTGCAGCTGAATTAATTTGTGAATGTGGGTGTCTTTTTTACTGTTCTTAACTATGCATCAAGGTTGATTTTAAATCCGAAAATGTACATTGTGCCCTTTATCACATATTCAGCAAAGGCAAAAAAAAAAATGTAATTTTGATTTTTTCATATATATATATATATAATTATGCATTGCAGTGATGGAAGCTGCATTTGACGTTTTGGAGCAGGTTCTGTATCAGGCAAAATATTCGTTTGGAGCAGCCACTGTCGCTTCTGGAGCAGATGCCAACGTCTCTTAACATACACGTTGAAAAAGAAAAATGGATTGCATCGCTAAATGAGTTTATATTTGATAATGGCTGAGGGTTTCTCTTTCATGCTGGAGCATATTACTGGTTACCCTTTGTAATAGAAACAAATAGGGCGCAAAAGGTACGCAGAGTTTTCGTTTTCAAAATAGGGCTCTGGTCAGGGTAGGTTCCATTTATGATTGGTACTAAACAAATTGATGAGAAATGAATCACACTTCAGTTTGGGTAAAGCCCTCCCCTCCCACTTTTACACCCGATAATTTATTTAACCTGTATGTATAATTTCTGTAAAACGCCACCAAAAACCAACATAATCGTTAACACGTCTATCAGTAAAATGCTCCAACCAAATTTGATCGTTACCAAACTCAAAAGTTAAATATTATAAACTGAAAAAAAAAAAAAAAAATGCAAATTTACTCTTGCACTTACATTTATTCAAATAAAGCACCGCTTATTTTTTTTTTTTCTTTCTCGACGCAGCATTTGAAAACGAGATCATATATAATCGAGACCAAAGAATGTGGACCTGCAATGGTACTGACCATAATTTACATGTATTGCTAAACCAGACGCTCACCCATGTCAGCCGCTACTCCTAGCACTCCGGTGCAAGGCGGTGAAGCTCGACGCGTGTGGGCTGGTGAGAGTCGTAATCAAGTAATCTGGAGTACAAGAGCCTGGTTCTGTCTTATCGCAGTAGCCGCTATCCTCCTATTTTGCAATGTTTTCTCGCGACTTTTGGCTCCTCAGATCGCCGACGTCGTCGGAAAGTTTAGAGGATGTCGGCGATCGAGCCGCCAGCGCATCATCCGGCCAGCGCGGTGGACGAGCAGTCTTAAAACTTCATTTCACCTTAAAAAAGCGCAGCCGACGCTACGAGCCAATGGGATCAACCAAAGAACGTCAAAGCGCGACATAGACACATTCGACCGTCTTCCTGTAACTTTTCGTTCGTCGATTAAACCAATCAAATGCAGCGAATGCCCCGTGACTTGCGCTTTTTCTATGTGTGTTCGTGTTGTATGTGTTCGAGCCTTCGACTGTGTTCTGACCTCAGATGAAACAACGTATACGGCGAGTACAGACGCTGTGAAATACATATTTCTACCATTTTTCTTTCTTCCTACTTCTTTAAAGATTAGGGTCAACCAAAAAAAAAATGTATATATATACATTTTTCGTTTTCACCATCTAGGCGCAGGTGTGGCGCAATTCTTAGCCAAAATGGCACCTTGGCGCAAGGTGTGGCAGACTTTTGCTCACGGCGCAATTTGGCGCAAATGGCGCAGCACTTTCATTACTGGCATTGGAATAAGCAAAACCGACTAATCGATTAATTAGTCGATTAAAACGTGGCGATTAGTCGGGTTAAAGATTTTAATCGACGCCCAGCCCTAGAACTTGACAAATTGCTACAGAGCAGCCAACGAGACATCATTATCTCGACGAATTATATGCATGTACTCTAAAAGTTTATTTCGTTTCTTCGAATAAGGCGCTCCAAAATGACACGGACCAATCACATTGGTGCAAATTTGGTCCACCGCTGATTTACATACTACGAAGCTTGCTTAAATCAGATTTTGTTTTTTCTCTCTCTCTCTCCTTCTCTCGCTCCCTCTGATTTTTATTTAGATATCTTGCA